GTGTACCCACTGCAAGGCTCGACACTGGGAGTGCGAAAGGACAAAGTCGACCGGACACTTCAGCACGTGCTGCTCGCAGGGCAAGGTGCAGCTACCTCCCTCTCTCCGGCCTAATCCCGACTTTCACAGCTACTTGAAGGCTCGGATAGCGGTCAGTCCCTCCGTCCAACGACATTCGTCTGTAGTAGACCAACATGCTGAACTGTGCGACACACCTACACAGAAGCTAAGGCATTCCGGCGTTCCGCGAGAATGCCCGGTCGTACAACAACGCGCTGTCGTTCACATTCGCTCGCTGCCCACTTTGACCAGACTCGACCAGGCACTCAAGGACCCCGCATGTTTTGGGTATTTTGTCGCCTTTACCATCGACTCGGGCACTCTCGGCCCTAATTCCTGCCGTCAATCAGGGCCCAACCTTTGCCAAAACATGGCTCATCTGCCCAGCCGAGGCCACCGACACTCAATTTGGACCGACGGCGCAGACAGTCGCATACAAAGATCTACTCTGACCAAGCTCGACTCCATGTTGGGCACCGGACATCGCTTTGTGAGGAGTTCGCATCGGCCAAAGCCCGCGCAGGTTGGGGTACGGCCGCCTCTGTCTAACACCTGGCCGGACCGACGCACCCACAACCTTCCTACGTGGAGCACGGAATGGCGATGCATATCTGCGATTTCGACACCAACATGTGAGGTCGTGGACCGCAAGACCTTAATCTTCAGGCGCACGGTGATCAATGTCCCGACGGTCGGCCCAAGTACCAAGTTGTTAGCTCGCTCCATCCGTCTGCGATGCCTCTCCGTTCCCCACTCCTATTCCCTGCAGGAGAAGATGACTGCCTCCCCAACATTCCTCTTTGCAGTTCCAACCAAGCTGGGTCACCCTTCGCCGACGAAGAGGATGAAGACGAGGAGGAAGGGGACGAAGAGAATGGTGATGGTGAACGTAAGCGCCTTCGGCTCTTTCTCGGATGTTCCATTTTGTTAAGGCGCACGCACAGTGACGTTTTAACACCTAGGACGAAGCTCAAATAAAGGGGGTCGAAGTGGCGAGTCTCGCGTTCACAATTCTTTGCGTACTACTTGCACAAAACGAGTACTTCTCAATCCCGCATTGCACCCAACGTGCCTTCCTGGCGTTCGTGATGACGGATACTCCACGTCGAGACCGATCGACTCAACTTACCTCCAGTTGCATCAAGAAAACCTCCGCCTCACCACGGGCCAAGGTATCATCAGCTTGACCCCGGTCAAATTGGATGTTCAGTGTTACTCGAGGTCGAGCGTCGCAGTCGAGATCGAGGCAGGGCAACCTGCACGGGGTGAAACGGGCCGAAAGGAGTCGGCACGACGTGTCGAAAAGCAACGACGCAGCGTAGAGCTGGCTGGGAAGACTCGACAGCAAGCAGGGAGGATGATCGACTTGAGCCGTAAAGCGAGTCGATGACCGAGAGACGACACCCAGGAGAGCACACGAGAGCTCAATACGAGGTGAAGATGCGGAGTCGAATACGTGACTCAAACGCGAGGTGAAAGCACGAGGCGCTGCTCCCAACGAAGACCCAAAGGTATACGCTGTATCAGGACTACCTTGCAATCAAGAGAAGAGCAATGAAGCTGGGGTCGATGGACGAGATAGCAAAAGCTAGACGAGGCTGAATGATGATGATGATGATGATGATACCTCCCAGAGAGGCAAGCGCACTCGAGGGAGCTAGTCACACTAAGCAAGGGGCCAAAGCTCAATAAACTCCACTCAGTGACCAATTCCTCCGACCAACCACCTCTCCTCTGCCAGTCTCTGATCCCAGTGAATCCCAAACCCAAGGCACGGACTTGATACACGACAGTGCCGATCCAAACGAAATGTGAGAGGTGTTGAACCCCTGGAAGAAGAGCATCGTTCGAAACCAAAGCAGCGCGTCAGCAGTTGCTCGTGTCAGCAGTCGGAGGCGTCCGATCCTTACACCCACTACATGGTCAAGGACGCGTCTCTCTTCGACGCCTGGCACACACGGTCACACGTCGCCGTTGATGGCGCTGGCGGGTCACTCATGGCACAAGGCACCGGCTCGATCACGATACTAACGTCGAAACAACAAACGATCAAGCTCTGCAACGTCTAATACGTCCCCGACCTTCCGGCCAACCTGATCTCGGTCATGCAGCTGCGACGCGAGCGCGTTTACACCCACTTTGGCAAGACCATCGAGCTCCGGTCATAAGGTCAACTCATAGGTGTGGCATCCCTCATTGCGAACCAATTGTCGACACTGGTGTAAGGATTTGGGCGATCCAATACCCAGGTGAGCTGTATCTACCATCCTTCATATCCTTTCCATGCGCCTCGCTTAGTTTCAGCCTGTTTGTGTTCGACGCTGACTCCACCATCCGTTTGCTCGTCTTTCCCTTTTTCCTTCCGAATTGACCTTTCCGTGTATGTGACGACTCCGCCTTCAGCTCGACAGGGGCGCCGCTACCTCGGCGCACCCGGGCGCGCGCGCTTCCCTCGGCTTGGGACTTAGGCGCTGCGCGCGCGCGCGCTTCCCTCGGCTGGGACTTAGGCGCTCGCGCTCACCACGGCTTGGGCGGGTGTTGAGTTAGCGGGGTTTCTTTTCCGGTGTTCACTTCCGTGAACCACCTTTTTCCCAATGGTGAAACCCCCTCTTGTGTAGATTGGGGCTTGGCTTCTGGCTTCACCCTTCCTTGAATCCGTTTCCTGGGCATCACCGCGACTCTCTCCCTCTTCCTTCCGCAATTCTATCTCGAGTCACTGTTGCCTCGCCGTCGTGAGCCCCTGGGTCGTTCACCGGGCTGCTCGCCCTCCCCGATTCCTCGTCCCGCCGCCGCTCGGGCCGCCGCCTTTGCGTCACTCAACATCGTGGCCGATTCCCCCCCTTCGCCTTCCTCTTCGTTCGGTTTCGATCGTTGACGCTCTCGTAGAAGAATCGTGAGGGTTCCCTACTTCGTTGAGGTAGTGCCCTTTCACTTTTTTAACAGTCGAGTAGTATTGCGCTCCCATTGCTGAAGTCTCCCCTCTCTACTCGCCACGCTGAGTACCAGTCCCCCTCTCTCCTCTCCTGCCGGGTCCGAGCAGTTGAGTCTGTTACTCAATCCCTCTACTTCCTGTTCCCTCGATTCGGTTCCATCCCCTCATCTCCTATCCTACAGATCCGACTCCTCCGCCGCCTCCCACCGATCTACCGCGCGCTGCCGATGGGACCGTGCTGCAAGATACGAGCAGCCGCTTCGCGACGAACCGCCTCACCTCACGTCGGAGGGGTATCGCTCGTCCGACTGGTCGTCGAGAGCCGCCCGGGAGTATCTTTGTCGCCGCCTCCCCCTCGTTCCATGAGTTGGTTGGAGATGTTGCAGGCCCAGGCACGCGAGCTGAACCGCCAACTGGCCCATGAACTCTGGTTGCAAGAGTCGCACAGGCATCGCCGCTCCCAGCGTCACCTGTGCCGCCCCTCGTCCTCGTCCTCGGCTCACCCGCGCAGCAACCGATCCCGCCGTCGAAGGTTCACCCCGGACACCCCTTCATCCACCGCCGTGTTGGCCCCAAGCTACCGCCCTCCTCGATTCGCCAATCCATGGAAGGGGACCATAGCATCACGAGGCTTAACGCGTTCATCCGACAAGCACGGGCGTGGATCCTTGGGGTGGGGAAATTTGGGGCCAACGACGATCTCGCCTCCGCCGCACCCGACGTGCACCTCCTCGTCCTAAGTGTTTTCTCCACCGAACCGGGGAAGGGGCAAGAGACGAGTGCTGCTGATTGGGCCGATGCCCAGTTCAGAAGGGCCATCAACGCCGCTCGAGTCCTGACGCTAAACGACCTGTTTCGATTGGCAGACATCGTTGGCCCGATCCGGGATTCGCAGCGCGCGTCGATGCGGAGCTCACGGCTCTTCGGCAAGGAATCCGGCACGCGATGGAGTTCCTTTCCTGTTCGAGGCCAAGGTGTTGGAGTATGAAGATGATGGCGCAAACATCATGACGGAACGGGACCAGCCGCTCGGTTCTTACGTGCACTGAACCCTGCTGCGCAGCAACTCTGCCACACCCAGATCGGTCACCGCGACCCGTTCTTCCACACCTCTGGCGTCTTTTCCGCAGGTCTGCATCCGACGCTGGAGGAGCTCAGCCGTTGGGCGTCAGCCGTTGGGCGTCAGCCGTTGGGCGTCAGCCGAAGTCCGTCTCTCGCCGCTCGCATCCGTCCGCGCTATTGCGCACGACCCGGAACCGTCCTCGCCTCCGACATCGCCCTCGCACCTCGCAGCCGTGCGCGCCGCTCGGTCACCTCCCCGCACCGAGAACGCCGATCAGCACACGCGACAGCGCGAGCGTTGGGTCGCCCGAGCCATCGAGTGGCAAGGCGACCATCCGGCGCACCAGCGAAGCGAATGGGTCCGGATCTCGTCGGCCAAGCGAACCTGTCCCGCACTCTGCGGTGCTACAATTGTGGTCTGGGGGGTCATTTTGCTGATGACTGCAAAAACACTCGAGTCTCACCGAACCAGGTCGTCGTAGCATCCATCGCACAGTACTTCGACATTGGTCCGAGCGGTCATGAAGCCGACGAGGTCGTCAAGCTCGAGTCGGATGATCAACCTGTACGTCCTCTCGTTGCTTCGTCGCATCTCGGGACTTTGGAAGGCTCACGCGGAGATTTAGTGAGTTCGTTCCGAGCTCTTTTGATCGAGTGCCTGTCCTCGCCCCTCGATCAACAGGCGCGTGATGAGACTCGCGATGCTCCCGTGGTTCGAACACCTCGCACGGCTAAGGCCACGGGGCGTGGGGCACGCATCGAACGTTCGCATCGACGACGATCGTCCTTCGTTGCCTCTGATGCCGGCCCTCCTCCCACCTCCTTCGGTGGCCCTCGGGCCCTGTTGGCGTCCACTGTCGGCATCCCTTCGGATAAGGAACTCGAACACTTTGTCGATGTCGGCGCAATCTCCCTGCTGGAAGAACAGAAGCTAGCTGATGAACCTCCTTCTGCCACAGGCAACGCTGAACCACGTATCCTGCGAGTCAAGAACGTTCTTCTGTGGACGACGCCAAGTGGTCGTACCTTGCGATGCCTGTTGGATTCAGGAGCCGAGATCGACGTCATCGACAGTCGCATTGTTAAAGCTGAGTCCTCCTTCGTGCTCTCGAGTTTGATGGCTCCCCTACATTTGCGCTTGGGAACTGGAGACGCCACCGATCGACTATCGCTGTTCGCCACAGCACCCTTTGCATCGGGTGCCCTGGACCTCGGATTACGCCCCTTCTTTGTTGGCATGGTGTCCGGGTACGACACCATCTTGGGCTTGCCCTTCCTGGCCGACTCGGGCATGCTCGTCGGGGCTCATCAGTATGCCATCCATCGGGACCGTTCCAACCCGCGACCACTACCTCGCATGCTCCCATCCCCAGTCTGGAGCCAATCCGTGGGGAACAGCGGTACGCTCACTCTACCCCTGGCAAGCGACGTCGGAGGGATGACGTCGTCTACACGCGTTGGTACGGTGGGGGGATTTCAGGAAGTGTCGGCTGTTGCGGCGGCAGTCGACAAGGGAGCAACCGAGGAGGGGAGTCGGTCGAAAGGCTCGCAGGAAATCAAGTGTAACGGACTTAATTCCCAAACGATTGACAAGAAGAGGAGGGGCAACAAAAGAGAAGAGCGGACCAAGCTCCCGGGGAAAGGTGGTAAAACTAAAGGGAAGGGACTGTGCCAGGCCCAGAGGGGACTTAGCAAATCAACCACTCCAAGAGGTCGCCTCAGGGGTAAAAAGGATTGCTCACGGGAGCACCGGTAAAAACCCTGAAGCCGCGCCTCGGCTAACAAAAGATCAAACAAACCGAAAGAAGACTGCGGTCTGGGCACCTCGAACCCGCGACCACCGAGTGCGCGCCCGCGCGCCCACAAAGGATTTTTTTTTTATTTTACTGGGGCTCATAAATTGCAATCCTTCGGGTTGGCTGGGACCGCTAGAAAAAGAGCTAAAAGAGGTTATAAAGCAACGACGGCAAGCAATTGGGTGAAAGTCAAACCCCTGCGCGCAAAGAGCGCTGCGCAGATCAAAACCCGCCGAGCACCTAACGCGGACTCCAACGGGCGGTGAGTACTGCTGCCGCTTCACGTCCCAAGAGCGGGAGCGAAGATACTCGAAAACCAGGCAAGAGCGCCTAGAGAAAGAAAAGGGGAGAATATACAAAAATTCACGACTGGAAACACGGAGAACCAGGAATACTAAGACAGAGAGGAGGGAGGAGGAGGGGAACACACCCGAGGGCCAAGGGAGGGGGTCGAAGCCAGAGCTAGAGGTCCCCAGGGACTGACAGGCCGCAGCCAAGCCCCAGCTACTCGTCACCCCGACAGCGCCTGATGTCCTCCCTTGGCTGAGTCTCGAGTGCTGGCTGTTGAGCCGTCGGGGCCGAGCGAAACGATCCAATACACGAAACAAGCCTCGCCTTGACGCGAGGATATTGACCAAAAAACGAGCGACCTTTCTTCCCGATCCATGCCGTAGATCTTGACCAACGCCAACGAACGATGTATTCGACGGAATCCAACACACGGCTTAGGAATAAAAGGAGAAGTGGCTGAAGCGTAGTCAACAACCGAGCAACAGGAACGAGAAGAGGAAGGGAAGGGAGAAAGGGGAAAGAGAGGGGAGAACTTCACAAAGCCTCCAACGCAACGACGATCGACCGGCTTGCCGATCCATCCAAGAACGAAAACCGCTACTGCACAAGTAGAGAGAGGGAGAGGTGCGCAGCCTTCCACTGCGCAACAAGTTTCAAGACAGTCAGCTTCTGAAAGAAAAGTCGACCTCCGAAAAGGAAGGGAGGAAAGGAGGGGAGAGAGAGCAGGGGAGGAAAATGGGAAGGAAGGACTTAACTCGGTCATCACACCTCCCAATCTCGAGCCCCAGGCACAAAGCCCGCTCGAGAGAGAAAATCTCGCTCGAACGCTCTGAGCGCACTGGGAAGCGAGGGAGAGGCCACGACGTTGTCCAGCTCGAACCGCTGATGAACGCGCCAGCGGAGCAGGTGCAGCCGCTGGAAACCGATCGCGCAGGCCAGCCGAACCCACATCCATTTCGAGGTCGTTCTCCCACGACCCCGCAAAAGGGGGAGCCCCATAGTCAGCTGCTCCGGAGTGAACGTCGACGGATCGACGTCGGTATCCTCGATGCCGAGCTTGTCAAGCAGAATGCGTAGCACCCCACCCCAGAAGCTGGTCGAGTACGCGCACTCGAAAAAGTAGTGGGACACCGTCTCGATGACCGCTGCATCGTTGCCACAGAACAGACACGTCGGCGAAGAGGCATGACCCTGAGTATGCTGCCTCTTGCGCGTCGGCGTCACGTCGTACATGAGCCACCAGTGGGTGTCCTGCTCGACAGCAGACGCGAACCGGTCATGAAGCCATCTCCAGAAGCGCTTCCTATCGCTCTGAGAAGTCCATCAGGGAAACGCTTGACACGGTCCTCCCTCCCTGGGAACCGCACCTTGTTCACAAGCCGACGAAGCTTGCGAATCGTAAAAGGTCGGGAGAGCCCAAAGAAGTTGAAGCACCGAGGACGGGGAGCCTCCTTGAGAGGTATCCGAGCAGGTCGCAACGCGGTCTTGGGCAGCAACGCTTTCGCCTTGAGCAACTGACCCACGCGCGACCACACGTGCTCGTGCTGTAGGGCGGGTTCCTTAGAGTGCTGCCAGAACCCGCGTCGATGACCAACCAGAGCCCATCCCTTCCCTTCGTCCCTCCAGTACAGGTCCGCGATCTGCGCAAACTTTGCCACCGCGTCCGCATCGTCATATGCGTGCTGGGCACCTTCAGCATAGAGTGAAGGGAGGCGAGGCGGAAGCGAGAGCAATTCGGGAAGCGTAAGGAGTTCGGACTTGATGGTTGGAACTGTGACCCTGGCCGCTGCAACGACTGCCCCCCAGCGCGTCGAGTCGCGATACAGCTTCTCGACCCGAGCCGTGCTGCTGAAGAACCCCCACGGACTGAAATTGCGGGTCGCAGCGACGAGGGACCTCCAGCTCTCGCGAGCTAGGGGTGCCCAGATCGCCTCGTCCGAGCCCGCCACAGCATCCCAAAATCGAAGCGCCACCGAATGAACGATGTCGCCAATCGAAATCAAACCCAAGCCACCGTCCTCCCGAGCCTGGAACACGAAATCGCGAGCGACGGTATTTCGCCCTGCTCCTCCCCAGACAAAGTCCGTAAGTGCCGTCTCCGCCGCCTTAATGAACCATTGAGGCGGTATGTCGAAGGACAGCACGTGGAGGACCGTCGAGATGATGTGAGCGTTGGCATAGAAAACCTTCCCACTCGGCGAAAGTGTCCGGTCTCGAGCGGCGCGGGCCTTGGCCTTGATCCTGTCAAGAACATGGGTCCAAAACAGTTTCGAGTCACCGTGGCGAAAGAAGGCATAGCCGCACCACTTGAAGCTCTCCCCCTCCTGCACCGTTGGCAGCGCCTGCGCAGTCTCGTCCCGAAGCCAGTTCGGTCCGAGTGGTAGCACCAGCGTCTTGTCCGTGTTGGTCTTCCCGTTGGTAGCCTCGTACCACGTCTGCGACAGCGTTTGCAGCTTCGACAATGCCGCCGGTGACTCCACCACCACCACAGCATCGTCGGCAAACGCCAGATGCGTAAGCTGCGCACGCGGCCCCCCTGGCCACACCTTCTGCAGGTCGAGCGCGATCCCGCGCCGAACGAGGGCGTCGAGGAAGGGCTGGTACGTGATGTTCCAAACCGGGCACGAGAGGGATCCCCCTGACCGAGACCACACAGCAACCGCACCAAGTCCGTGGGGAACCCATTGACAAGGTAGCGCACCCCCAGAGTCTCGGGATCGTAGAGAGCGCGCAGCAGCGAGATGAAACGCTCACCGAACCCAAAGGCCTCAAAGACCTCGAAGATCCAGGCGTGATCGACCCGATCGTACGCGCTCTGCTGATCCAAAGACAAGAGGGCGCCCTCGGGGAAAACATCAGTGCCTAGCGACTTGAGTTTTTCGAGAAGGAGAGTGAGATGACTTCCCGCGTCCGCTGAACGTCTTGATGGCATGAAACCGTGTTGCGCCGGCGGCAAAAGCTCGCCGAGCACCCCATTGAGTCGCGCCACCAAGACCTTGCTGAGGACCTTGTAGGTCGTCTCGCGCAATGTGATCGGTCGGTATGCCCCCAGTGATTTCAGATTGGCCCCCGGTTTATTCTTGGGCAAGAGCCGCACCAGCCCCTCTGCCAAGGACGCCGTCATTTTGCCGCCCTCCCAAATCGAGTTGAACAAGTCCAACAGCTTGGGAGCAAAGTAGGTTGGCAGCGCCTTGAAGAGCTCGTACGGAATGCCCGAGGGCCCCGGTGATCGCCCCGAATCCGTCTTCTTCAACGCCGCTTCAACCTCGAGGAGGGTGAAGGGCTCGTCAAGCGCCACTCTCGCTTGACGAGGCAGCCGACGACCGAACGTAGGGTCCGAGCGGTCGTCATCGTAGCATTTCGCTGCGCGAATAGGGTCGAGCAGGGACCGGCGTGCGTTCGTCGGGTCGCCACGAGCTGGGTCCGGCGTGAAGAGCGACTGCGCGTGCCGTGAAGCAATACCCAGCGCCTCCTGCATGTCAACGGTCTCGGTGCCATCCACATCCTCCAGTGAGACGATGCTCGTCTGGCGACTCCGGCGGTTGAGGCGCGTGCGAATGCTTGCCGATTGACCTTCCCTCGAGTCGACTGACGGCACATGCGCACGAATGCGCAGCCACTGAGCCTCCTTTACCGCCAACTGGTCCAACCGCGACTTGGCATGAGCATACGCATCGCGCTCGGCCTCATTCATGTGCTCACCGCGTGCCTCCAAAGCCTCCATGACGGATTGGCTCTCGGCCCGCAGTCGGCGCATGTCGGCACGAGTCGAGCGGTATCGTGCATGGCCAGCTATGAAGGAACAATATACCACTGCACCAAAAGGCGAGGCACCTCTACTTCAGTGAGCGCATATTGTCCTAGAAGTGAGATGGAGCGAAGTTCAACACCAGCGACTGCAACCGCCCGCAGAGCGGCGTCATAGATGTCGCCGAGCGGAGCGGTCCCCTCGAGCCTTCGATAGACCTCGTCGACGACCCCGGGAATCGATGCGACAAAGTCTTGATCGTTAAAGACCATTGGGTTGAGCCTCGAAATGAAATCGCTCGTGGAGGGAAGAGAAAGGGGGGTTCGGCATCAGCGTTCGATGTAGGCAAAGCGAAAGTCGCAACTACAGGTCTGTGGTCCGAACAGGGCGCATCGAAGAGCGTAGAAGCGCTCAACAACCGGTTCGCCCAACTGCATTGGACAAGAATATAGTCGATCCGCGACCACGAGCAAATCTTTCGCTCTTCCCCTCTACCACGGTAGTGAGGACGAGTGAATGCAGGGGTGCAAGGATGGACATGTCGGACCGTGTCGAGTGCCTTGAACGCGATCTTTGACAGCAAGGTCTGCCAGTGCGATACAGGAGTCCAAGCGCGATCGGTGATGGACACTCGGTCGACCAATACATCCGGACAATCGTTGAGATCGCCGGCCAAGATCCGAAGAATCTTGGGTCTCGGGGCGTTGAAGTGCAGAAGCCCGAAAAAGTCGCGACGATCGTCCTCCTGCACCGGCGCGTACATGTTGATGATCTCGACATCGAGCTCCTCAAGACGAAACACCGAGCGCAGAATCCGACCGTCGAAACGAGGAGCTCCTGCAAAGACGACCGGGGTAGAGGAAAGGAGATGGCCCGCCAAAGGTGAGCCATCGGGTATGAGGGTAAGGACATGAGGAGTGAAACGAATACAAGCCCCCGGCCAAGCACTCTCGAAGCCTTCGCGCGACGCGTTGTAGCTGAGGTGGTGCTCTTGCAGGAGGATGGCCGCAGGGGCCGGCCGAAGGGTTTTGAGATAACGGATGATTTTGACTTGGTTGACTGCGTTCTTCATCGATCAGACGTTGAACGTCAACACGGTGAGTGACTCAATCATGATTAAATCAGTTCAGCGCCGCCCCCCTCGAATTCGGTCACCTCGGACCTGTGACCCCCTGAACTGTTGCCCCCTGAGCCATCACCCCCTGATGCACCGAGGATCATGGCGGATCCCGCCCGGGTGACACGTCGGTTGCCGGGTGCCGAGCTCGAACGAAGGCGTCGAGGACTCGTCGAGGCTATCGAGGTTGTCGAGGTTGCCGATGATCCCGACGTGCCACCGGACAGAGGCGAAGGAGAGGTCGGGGTCGAAACGGGCGCCGCCGTCGTCGTCTGCGTCTCCTTTGTTGAGCCCAGGATCGCACGCGTCGACGTCTCTTCCCCAGTGTCACCGCCCTCCGGTTCGGTCGAAACGACCGACTCGTCGTCGCCGTCGTTCGCGTCGTCCTTGTTGGTGGTTACTGCACCTGCGGGGTTAGCACGAGGTCCCAGCTGGATCATGTTCGCGCCAGAGACACGAGAGTTCAATGCGGCAGGCCCACCGTGCTTCCCATTCTTTCCAGCAACTCGGAAGCCGGTGGTCGAAGTCGAAGTCGAGGTCGAGGCCCCCGGAACAGGGGCGGCGGTGGCCGGAGTCGAAACCGGCTTCCTGCAAGCGCCCCACTGGTGTCCGGCGCGATCGCACACCGCGCAGTAGTGCGTCTCGAATTCGTGTCGCAAGCCGTACTTGGCGCCCAGGATCTCGATCTCTTGTGGCAAAGCGGCGTTGAGCGCAGCCTTCTGCGTCTCGATGGAGCCTTGGAAAAGATCAGCATGTAAGCGAAGGTACGCGCAGTGGAACCCGTCTTCGGTCATGGCCATCGGATCGCCATTCGGATCGACCGCGAGGCCCCGCTGTAATTGCATCAGGGTATAACCTTGCGTGCGACCTGCGCGGCCGAACGAAAGGGTGATAGCATCATCGAGAGATTTTCGGAGCACGGAAGCGGGGATCGCGCTGGAGGAGGAGGGCAAGGTGAATCGCACCTGCACGACGTGGTTAAGGGGAGAGGCGCTGGGGAGCTCGGTAACCATCTCCTTGCCGTGGTAGGGGAATGGGCCCGCTGAAGCGGCTTCAAGACAAGCTTGCTCGGATTCGAATACAAGCTCGTACATGTGACGAGCGATCGGGAACCTCTTCGTGGCTTTCGTCACAATCGGGTTCAGCTTCACGCATTTCGAGAAAAGCTTCTCGACCTCGGGGTCAAGCACGACGCCCTCGGGCCGCGCAAACATGAACGGCGTCTCGGCCAATCCAAAGTGCTTGCGCAGCGCGGTCTGTACAGGACCTCTGGGTGATCCAGGACCATCCATAATGACTCGAATCACATTGGAGGCCGGGGCTGCGTCGTTTCGCACCGCTCTTTGGGCGGCTCGTGCGAGCGCTGGCGCCTGCGAAGGCGGGGTCGAGGCGTCGTGCATCAGGACCATCAGTCGGCGGGTCGACTTGCTGGAGGGAACAATCCCGAGCACTTGGAAGGTCTTCTTCATCAGCTTCTCATGGTCCAACCGGACCTGAGTTGCCTCGGGCGACCAAGCTGGAGGATTCGCGGTTCCTCCAGTGACCGCTTCACGCGTTTGCGTGTTGAGTGATGAATCACTCGCGCCATTACCACCCAATAGGTCCTCGGGCGGGGGCGCATCGGCGCCGGGCGGATCCGGCATCGCGTGTTTGTGTTGACCTGTAAAGCTTAACGGGCTTGGAGGTCAACTACTCACTCTACACCACAGAAACTCACTTGTGTGCGTGCGTGTGTGTGTGTGTGTGTGTGTGTGTTTTTTTTTTTTTGTAGAAACCGTTCATCATATTGCCCCCAATTCCTGTTCCCCCTGATTGGCCTACGGAAAAACTAGATGGAAGTCGACGATGATAACACAAACCGCCCGCAAGATGCGAGAAACGGGCCAAGTCCACCAATCCGATACTTCGGATTCAAGTGCCCCAGCCAAGCGGTTGCTCCCCCCAGGAGACGAATGAGAGAGAGAAGAGAAAGAGAGAAAATGAAAAAGAACTGGCGTACTAACGACAAGAGGCCCACCCCGCACCCACTTCCCAACTCGGTCGAGACAAAGACAGGAGAGCGACTGCGCAGCTACCCTGACCCGCGAAGTCCCCAAGTCTATGCTCGGTCACAACAAGACGCGGTGGAGGCCCCTCAAAACCTCCACCTTAGCAGTCCCTGGCCCCTCAAAGCCGACTTTCTGCCTGTGTCTGCTGATCCCTCCCTTGACTCAGAACCCCGAAGCCAAAGAGCGCGAGCCACCGTCGAGTCAATCCCAAATCGCGAGCCGGTCCATGAGCAACGGAGGCAGACCTGTAATAAAAGAAAGAAAGATGAAGAAAATATATTTAGTATACAGTTTTTGTAAGAGGATGTGTGATGTGGGGTGTGTGAGTGTGGGATGGGGTGGGGGGAAATCGAACCCAGCCTCTACTGCCCTCGCCCGCCCCTTGCTCCCCCGCCCTCAACTTCATCCTCTCCTCCAGTACCACCCTCCTCCGCTCCAGGCTTTCCATCCTCGTCCCGTGCTTCTGCATCCTCCATCTCCCACTGCTGATCATCTCCAAGACCATCCCCGTGAAGATCTCGATCGTCCTGCCTGCGCCTTCCTGTTCGCTGAGCTTGGCCTTGAGCTTGGGGAGGCCAAAGAGTCATTGTAGTGTCGTGTACTCGGCGTCCTCGATCGTGTCGCATCCGAGCGCGTCGCAGAGCACGCCCCTTGCCGCGGTCCAGACGTTCCGCGAGTCGACGCAGCCGAAGAAGTAGTGATCGGTGTCGTCCACCGGCGCTTCGCACACGAGGCACGCGGGAGAAGTGACATGCTTTTGCTCGTGCTGGAGCTTGCGCGTCGGGGTGAAGCGGAGGATCAGCTTGAACCAAACTTCCCTCTCCCTCGCTGTCAGTGCCTTCGAGTTGACTGCCTTCCAGAAGCTCCTGAGGTCGTCCGGCTGCGGTGGTCCCTTGAGCCCGAGCATGTTGGTAAATGCCTTCGCGTTCAGGACCCGGCGGATGCGACGGACTGTGTAGGGGCGAGCCATGTTCAGCAGCGTATACTGGCTCGCCTGTTGTGGAAGCACCGGGTCCGGAAGGCGCTGCTCCATTGCGAAGCGGGCCACGGGCTTGGGGATGATCGCCTCGAGTGGTGCGCTGGTGCCGATCCGGGGAGGCACGTTGAGTCGTCCCGCCGCCACCGCCGCCGCCAAGGGGGTGTTCTTGTGTCGATCGACAGTGAACCGGTACCAGGCCGCGATTGCCAGTCGCTGCGGGAGCCCGCGTCGATCGTACTCGCTGTTGTCGCCGAGCACATCCGCCGGCGGCGTCCAGAGGTGAAACCCCCCACCCGCATACAACTCGCGCCGATAGAGATCCGCCACCTTCGGGTAGCCCTGGAGACGAAGGTAGTCAGGTACATGAACCGCGTCGATGGTCTGTCTCCCTCTGATGGGGGTGTGGAGGCTGCCGAGCAGGGTGGGCAGCGCGAGCAGGTTCGCGGTGGTCAAGGCCCTCGGGTTGACCTGCACGTCGTGAAGTTTTGGAACGCCCAGTGCGGCGTGCCATCGGGGATGAAGGTCGTTGGGGATGGGAGTGGATGGATGTGGCCAGAGATCGGTGGCCAGGTCGAGGTCGGGCTGAGCTCGCTGGAGTGCTGCGCGCGCAAGTCCTTGCCAAATCGCGCCGGAACCGCCGAGAAGAACGTCCCAGAGCCGTGCCGCAACCGCGTCCACAATGTCCCGCATCCTTATCACCCCGAGTCCCCCCTTGTTCTTGGCGGTGAACACAATGTCTCTGCCGTAGCTGGTCCTGCCCTTGCCCCCACGGACGAAATCGACGAGCATGTCATCGAGCTTCTTGACGACTTCGGGCGGCGGGATGTCGGCTGCAAGGAAATGCAGGATCTTGGGAATGGTGTACCGATTGACGTAAAAGGCACGGGTGTGGTGCGTGAGCCAGCGATGCTGAACCGCTTCCAGCGTCGCCTCGAGCCGTTCGATGAGATTCGCGTAGGCGAGTTCGGTGTCGCCGCTGGGGTCGAAGGGGAGGCCGATCTATGAAGGAACAATATACCACTGCACCAAAAGGCGAGGCACCTCTCCTTCAGTGAGCGCATATTGTCCTAGAAGTGAGATGGAGCGAAGTTCAACACCCCCCTGTGCGCGAAGCTGAAGAGCTTGTGGCAGTGGGTGCGGCTGTGAGGCAACTGGGCATGTTGATCAGGTCGCTTGGGCAAGTGCAGCTTGGGCACTGTGAGCACTGTCGATGCGCCAGGGTGCTTGGCACGCCGCTGGGCAAGTGCGGGGGCCGGGACGCTGAGTGTATGCGCGCAAAATTGCCTGACCCCAGGGGGGATTGAACTCATGACCTGCTGGTTGCTCTGGGCTCATAACCTATGAAGGAACAATATACCACTGCACCAAAAGGCGAGGCACCTCTCCTTCAGTGAGCGCATATTGTCCTAGAAGTGAGATGGAGCGAAGTTCAACACCCCCCTGTGCGCGAAGCTGAAGAGCTTGTGGCAGTGGGTGCGGCTGTGAGGCAACTGGGCATGTTGATCAGGTCGCTTGGGCAAGTGCAGCTTGGGCACTGTGAGCACTGTCGATGCGCCAGGGTGCTTGGCACGCCGCTGGGCAAGTGCGGGGGCCGGGACGCTGAGTGTATGCGCGCAAAATTGCCTGACCCCAGGGGGATTGAACTCATGACCTGCTGGTTGCTCTGGGCTCATAACCTATGAGACGTTCACCACTACTGTCAGGAGAGGTTGAGAGTCGAACAGAAGTGATCTATTTCAGCGTACCTATGAGACGTTCACCACTACTGTCAGGAGAGGTTGAGAGTCGAACAGAAGTGATGAGAAGGAAGCTAAGAAACAGAAAGGGGGGGGCCACGCTGGGATAGTCCCAGGCGCGTGACAATGTACATCCCTAAGTCAGCCGCGGGTGAAATCGCCGGCGCGCCTAAGTCCCCACCGCAAGGGGGCGGGCTAGCGGGCGCGCGCATGAATCCGCCGGCGCTGGCGCGCTGAGGCAGTCGCGCGCGTCTAAGTCCCCACCGCCGGGGGCGGGCTAGCAAGTGCGCGCAACGACCGAGGCGCCCCTGTCGAGCTGAGAGTGGACTCTTCACACCCCCCCCCACGCGAATGCGAGGCAGACCCAAGCCGCGGGTGTCGAGTGCGAAGGCCGAGGGCGTAGCAGTGCGTTGAGAAGACCTTTGGGCCGAGAGCCTTGGTGAAGATGTCGGCCACCATGTCGCTGGTACCCACATGCGAGAGAGAGATGTCGCCCCGATTCACCATGTCCCGAACGAAGTGCTCACGCAAGCGTATGTGCCGAGTGCCAGAGACGCGGACAGGATCGTGAGCAACTGCAGCAGCGGCTTCGTTGTCAGTAAAGATGTGAGCCGGTGCAACAGGTTGTACATGGAGCTCTTCGAGCAGCTGACTGAGGTAAATCCCTTCCTTGCCAGCATGCGAGAGGGCGAGGTATTCAGCGTCGGTGGTCGAATCGGCAACTCGAGACTGGCGTTTGGACGACCAGGACACGGCCGAGCCAGCGATGTAGAAGACGTAGCCCATGGTGGACACCGATGTGTCGATGCAGGCCCCCCAGTTCGCGTCGGAGTAGCCTACCACACCCGTGATGCGAGCCTGGCCGCGAGCATACACGAGTTCGTTGCGATACGTGGCCCGGAGATAGCGTAGGATGTGCTTGACCGCAATCCAATGACGACGACCGGGGTTGTTGGCGAAGCGGGCCAGGTAGGACACGGCGAAGGCGATGTCAGGGCGGGTACCGAGCGAAATGTAGAGGAGCGAGCCGATAGCCTGCAGATACCATGACCTGATCCGTTCGGTGCCTTGACCCGGGATAGCAGTGAGCGAAAGGCCGGGAGTCATCGGAACTGTAGTGCCGCGAGTCGTGGTGTCGAAGTGGAACCGAGCGAGCACGTCCATGATGTACCGTTCCTGGGATAGGGCGATAGAGCCGTCGTCGAACCGCCTTCGGGTCGAGTTTGGAGCGAAGTTCGGGCGCGACCGTAAGCCAAGCTGTACAGCCGAACGGGTGAAGCGCCGAGGCAGTGGTGTGGTCACCCTGCCAGACGGAGTTTGGTGTTGCCTTGTCCAGGGCCGCGTGTTGACACAGGTTCTTGCAGTAAACGAAATAAGCTGCAGCCTCCTCCCAGAATGTCTTGGGTAGGTGGGCGTCGACAAGGAGGGCAAGGACGCCTTCGACAATGGAACGATTGACCCGCTCTGCACGACCGTTCTGTTGAGGCGTGCGTGGGATAGAGTATTGTCGACGGGTGCCTCGTGTCTTGCAGAACTCTGTGAACGCTCTCGAACAGTATTCGCCACCGTTGTCGGTTCGGAGGACCTTCAGCGTCGCACCCGTCTCGAGTTCAACCTCGGCTAGCCAAGTTTTGAATATGCCGAAGACTTCGCTTTTGTGTCCGATTGCGTAGGCCCAGAGTTTGCGCGAGTAATCGTCAAGGAATGTGACCAGGTAACGTTTGCCAGTCAAGGACCGCTCGGGGAAGGAAAGCACATCGCTGTGTACAAGGCCGAGTCTCTCTGAGGAGTGCGAATCCGAATCGGGAAAGGGAAGACGATGGCCCTTTGCGCTGAGGCAAGCATTGCAGACAAACTTCTCTACCTCTTCGTCACTATATCCGGCCCTGAGACCCTCCAGCAAACCAGCGGCAACCATCTTCTGTATGGAGGACGGTGCGAGATGGCCGAGGCAGCGATGGAGAGTCAGCAGGGGCACGGACGACTGTGAGCGAGAAAGGAGAGCAAGGTGCTGACATTTGGAATGATCAGCGTCCAGCAAGTAGAGCCCTTCGTCGAGTCGTGCGCCTTCAGCGATGTCGTTGCCGTCCTTGTCAATGTGGATGCCGTGTTTTGTGAAGGCGACACGGACATCGTCGGTGTCGCAAAGTCGAGAGACCGAGAGAAGATTGACAAACAGGCCCGGAGTGTGCAGCACGCCGGTAAGCGTGATCGGATGACCCGAGGCGGCAATGAAGGCGATGTTTCCCGTTCCGATGGCGTTGATGCCCCCTGCAATACCACCAATCTTCGTAGGAGCGATATGGCGATAGGTCGTGAACAGCGACTTGTCCGAGACCATGTGCGAAGTGGCGCCCGAGTCGACGACAAAAGAGTGGTTGCGAAGCTGGCGACGACGAGCGAGAAGACCGGTGGCGAGACATCCGACATGGTGTTGCGAGTCGACGGTCGAGTCAGCGGTGTCGGGCTTTTTGCCGTCCTCGAGCGCCTTCTTGCAGTCGAGAGACCAGTGATCCTTCTTCTTGCAGGAGCGACAGGGTCCTGGCGGCGGGTGTTGCGCCCTCGTAGGGCACTCCGCGACTCGGTGCGAAGGGCTGCGACAGGCGAGACACTTGAGACGAGTAGAACGTGACGACGACGAGGCAAGAAGGGCCGATTGAGTGCTGGGGATGTTCGTTGACCGAAGTTGGACTCGCATACGGTCGGCAAGCGAATCAATGTCGGGGAGAGTTCGTTGCGTGCGCTGTTCATCGGTGAACGACGCCTTGAAGCTCTCGAGGGACGGGTGGGCGATTGCAAGGAGGAGTGTGGCGAGAACATCATTGATAGTTGTCTTTGTGTCGATGATCTCTTGCGCAACGGCTTTGAAGTCCATGATCCACCCGTCGAATTCGGCAACCGTGCCGGGCATGGGACGGAAACCCCAGAGTCGTGAGAAGAGCTCGAGCGTGCGGGTGGCGTCGTCAGGGGCGTACCGCGATTTCAGCGTCGAGTAGATTGTCGGCGCTGTCAGGTCGGCGGTAGGGATTTTGTCGAGGACTGCCGAGACTTCGGCCGAGTCAATCGAATTCGCAAGGACCTCACGAGCGACGGCGTCGCGAGCGGAGCGTTGCGAAGGTGTCCAGTCGTCGGGTGCGATACCGTCGAGGACGTACGAGCGGATGTCGTCCGCTAGGCACAGGCGAAGTTGGCGTGTCCAGTTCGCGAAGGTCTTCGCACCATCCAAGCGTGCGTGCTTTGGAAAGGCAGTGCGAGTGGTGCCGGACGTCGTGGCGGGTGTGGCAGTGCCGGAAGCGGCAGCGGTGAGACCCGACAGCAGCGATGTAAGTGCGGCGAGCTGTTCGGCGGGAATCGGAGGGTTGGCACCCGTCGCGAGGGGTGGTGTCGTGGTCATGCCAGCTGGTGGCTCGTGGGCTTATAACCTATGAAGGAACAATATACCACTGCACCAAAAGGCGAGGCACCTCTCCTTCAGTGAGCGCATATTGTCCTAGAAGTGAGATGGAGCGAAGTTCAACACGATCCACTCGAGCGACTCGCCTGCGGCCTTGACGACGATTGGCCGTTCCCCAGGGTCCCAGCGACGTCCAATCGGTAGGACGACCGTCTTGTCCGTGTTGAGCCGGCCATTCGTTGCATGCCTCCAGTCGAGCGCCAGGTCATCGAGCAAGTTGAGTGACTCCAAGCCCGCGACGGCGACGACAACGTCATCGGCAAATGCAAGTGATGTAATGGCGCGGCTCTGTGGGTACGGATGAAGTGCAGGTATGGAGAGATTCAGCGCGATGTTTCGACGGTGTAGAGCATCCAGGAACGGCTGAAACACGATGTCCCAGACCGACGATGACGCCGGGTCCCCTTGGCCGAGCCCACACGTCAGTCGCACCGGCGCCGTCAGGAACCCATTGATGATGTAGCGCGCCGAGGTCGAGTCACCCGAGTAGAGCATCCTCAGCACGCGAAGAAAGGTGGTAGGAACGCCCAGAGCGTCGAAAATGGCAAAGATCCAGTCATGCTCGACGAGGTCGTAGGCGGATGATTGGTCAAGAGACAAGAGCGCGGCCGCGGGGAACTCGGTCCTGCGCGCGCCAAGTTCCTTGATCAGGAGACGAAGGTGTAGTGCAGCGTCGGCCGATCGGCGGTCCTTGACGAAGCCGTGCTGCTGCGGCGGGAGGAGATCGGGCAGAATTTGGTTCAATCGGGCGACGTAGACCTTGGTAAAAATCTTGTAATCGCACTCGCGCAGGGTGATGGGGCGATACGACGAGAGTTCGGCGCGATCGGCATTCTTCTTGTGGCGCTTGAAGATGAGGCGCACAAGTCCCTGGCCCTGCTTGGGAGAGAGTGAACCGCGCTCGATCATCGCGTTGTAGGCCTTGGTCAGCACCTTGGACCACGCCTCCGGTGCGGTCTGATAGAGTTCGTAAGGCACGCCCGACGGGCCCGGCGATCACCCCGGGTGCGTCGTCCCGATCGCGGCCACGACCTCGTCCTCGGTGATGGGTTGCTGGAGGAGATCAATCTGCGCTTCCGAGAGTCGGCGCAGAAAGAGCGGATCTGAGCGCGGGTCGTCGCAAGTCCGTGCCGCCCTGATCGGCACGAGGAGTTCGTCCCGAAGTCGGTCGACGCGTTCCGGATCACGAGGCTCGATGTGGTAGAGGCGCTGGAAATGCGCCTGCGTGTGGTCAAGAGCGACATCAATGTCATGCGTTAGCTCTCCGTTGCCCAAGCGCAGTGCTGTGATCTTGGAGTCCGAGTTCCGCGCCGCGAGCTTGGCGTGGACCGGCCGCGACAGTCGTTCCTCGGAAGCGATCTCGGGGACGTGGGCTCGGATCCGGAGTAGGCGCGCGCGCTCCTTGACCGCCCGCTTGAGTTCCTCGGACGTCCTTGTCCATTCTGCCGTTTCCGCCTCCCCCCATACCGGTAACACCTCCAGATCCTGCACCCTCCCCACCAAATACTCCATCCGTTCCGTCCGCTCCCGATGCAGCCTCCTCGCCATCTCCCCACCCCTGTCCCTGCACGCCTCCAGAACCTCCTCAAGCTCTCGCACCGGATCCTCCCCGCTTGCCCCTTCCAACCATCCTTCCATCATCCGCTGAAATTCCACCGTCTTGAAGGTTGTGGTATTGATTCGATGTAGTTGGTTGGATGTGGTAGGTAGGCTGAGCTGTGGGAGAGCCGCATCAAGATCGTCTGAGAGAGCCAGTACGATCAAGACCGGTCGGTGATCGGAAAGATCCTTGGGATAGTCGTAGATCGTCGAGGCCTGGTCGAGCCTTTTTTGGTGAGCTCTTTGTAGGAGAAAGTAGTCAAGCCGGGAGAAGGAGTTGGGTCGCTTGCGATTGGGATTAGGTCGAGTGAAAGATGGGGTGATGGGGTGCTTGTAGCGGATGCAGTCCGTGTAGGCCGAGTCGAGCTTGCCCATCAGAATCGGCCAGTGGTGGCCGCGCCGACTTTGGTTCCGCCGATCGACTTCTGGGCGCGGGCAGTCGTTGAGATCGCCGCCAAGGAGTCGGAGGTGGGATTTCTGTGTTTTGTGGAGGATCAGTTTGTCGAAGAATTTTGCTCGTTGTTTTGGGTCAACGGGCGCGTAGAGGTTATTGATTTCTAGAATTTTGATGTCGCCCCGCAGACGAAAGGAGGTGACGAGGAGCCGGCCGTCGAGTGCCGAGTGGGTGCGCAAGAGCTCGGCGTCGATCAGGGGCGAGTCGGCCGGGATCAGGGTCAGGCAGTGCTGGTTATGAAGGAACAATATAGCACTGCACCAAAAGGCGAGGCACCTCTACTTCAGTGAGCGCATATTGTCCTAGAAGTGAGATGGAGCGAAGTTCAACACCCCCCTGTGCGCGAAGCTGAAGAGCTTGTGGCAGTGGGTGCGGCTGTGAGGCAACTGGGCATGTTGATCAGGTCGCTTGGGCAAGTGCAGCTTGGGCACTGTGAGCACTGTCGATGCGCCAGGGTGCTTGGCACGCTGCTGGGCAAGTGCGGGGGCCGGGACGCTGAGTGTATGCGCGCAAAATTGCCTGACCCCAGGGGGGATTGAACTCATGAGCAGCTGGTAGCTCGTTGGGCTCATAACCTATGAAGGAACAATATAGCACTGCACCAAAAGGTGAGGCACCTCTACTTCAGTGAGCGCATATTGTCCTAGAAGTGAGATGGAGCGAAGTTCAACACTGGTTGATGAAGAGCTTGCCCTCGTACTCGTCCTTGATGAGCTGCCAGAATTGTGGTCTGATGAAATGCTCTTGTAAGAGAATCGCGGAAGCTTTGAATGTGGAAAGGTAGGTGTAGATATTACGTCGTTTTTCCGGGACCCCCATGCCCCTTCTTACGTTCCAGGTGATGATGGTGTGCTTGATCATTAATGGGTAGTCGAGGTCGAGGCGCTCTTGGCGGTGGTGACGTCCTCAAAGAGGGGAAGGGCGGGCAGGACATCGTCCTCGGGCTCGTGGTCGGACCATCGTTTTTCCTCAGCTACCCCTCTTCCTTTCCCTCTGTCCACCTTCGTCACCTCGACCTGCATCGCCGCTGCCGCCGACATCGACCTCGTCACCCTCCGCCCCTCTATTCCATCCTTCACCACGACGCGGCTCTTCCCTTTGATGATGACTCGCTTGGCGTCGGTCGGTTCGTCACTTGGGTCACTGAGGTCCGCCGCAGTCTGCGACCTCTTCATCACCTGCTTCTTGAACTTCACAGCGGTCCCCCTGATGTTGATGGAGCGTATCTCACCGTCCTCGTCCCACGTGGCAAAGTTGTGACGCACCAGAGGGGTTTCAGCGTTGAGCCTCCTCTCGATGCTTTGGTCCCGCTCAAGTCGTGCCTGCTCAACCCAGTTAGCTCTGATCCTGTCCCACTCCTCCCCCTCGCGTAGCGACTTGGCGAGAGTTTCGGGTGACAGAGGTGGGGTTGGTTCATGCGGCGTCGATTCGCGGGAAGCGGTGGCGGCGGTTGCTGTGGCGTCGCTGTCGTCGTCATTGTCCAGCCTGTTCGTTTCCCCTAAGTCCGTCGCTTCCGCATTCTCCGCTTTCGTCGATCCCCTCGCTTCGTCCACATCGCCCACCTCCGTCGCCACCTCCTCTTCCTCCATCTCCGTAGCCACCTCTCCTTCCGTTTCACCTCTTTCATCCGCCATCACCTCATTCTCATCAATCACCTCTCCATCGGATCCGCTGCAGTCCTCCAAGACCGACTCGTCCTCGCTTTCAATTTTGATGACCTCCGTTTTCGCGGCCGCCTCCGATTCCATCTCCGAGTCCTCCGAGTCCTCGTCATCCGCCTTATCACCAGCGTCTTCCTCCCCCGATTCCTCCGGTCCCTGTTCGCCCTGGCCAGTTACCTCTTCCTCCTGTCCCTCCTCGACCTCGAGCCCGGCGAAGTGATTCTGTGATGCGATCCTGTTAACAACCAGCACAGGAATGGGGGCCTCGGCCTCCGCGATGTTGGTGTTGTGGGTGATGGTGTTTTTGTTGCTGTTGATGATGCCGTTGTGAGCCTCCTTCCGCTTCCTCTCCTGATCCAGTCCGCAGGTTCCCACGTGACCCACAAAGTGGCACCTACCGCAAGCCGCCTCCTTCTCATAGTCATGGCGAAGGGCGGTAACCGGGATGCCTCGAGTGGGAAGGTCGATCCTCGAAGGTAGAATCTCCTTCAAGGTCGTGTTGGGGCGTTGGAATAGGGAGTCGTCATCGAAGTGTAGGAAAGCCGAGTAGTCTCCGGCAACGTGGGCGAAGGCCGAGGCGTTGTCCACGCTGATAACGCGCAGAACCTGCACAAGTTGGCATGAATGTCCCTTGCCTGACAGGTCTTGCACAAGTGATTGGAACAATTTGATGATGGCATCCATGGAGGGCACTCCTTGAACACCGACGTTGATTCGAAGCTCGACCATGTTATGGTGGAACCTGTGAGACTTCGCGAAGCGGGCCTTCGCCGATCGCCAAGTGAGAGCGGGGGGCGTCGTGAGCGCCGCGTCACGTGCCTCGCCGGTGACGAACCCAACCGTAACGCGATGGTGAGCCGCCCCATTACGCAGGATTGATGAATGTTGTACGCCTAAGATCTGTGGTTGATAAGCCGCAAGATGGTCCGGCAGAGGAACTCCAGGCTCAAAGCAGATAGGAGAGATGGGCGATAGCAGCCTCGTGACGCAGGCCACGAGATCGATCTTGTCGGCATGAGTCGCTCGCGAGGCGCTCTGGTGAGACAGAGTCACTTCAAGGGTGTAATCGAAGATGTTCTCGACGGACCGGTTCGCGTTCAAGGCCGAAAATTTCAGCGATGTGGCGGTGGCGACGGGGTAGAGTTCGGCAAAGTAGATGGCCTGGACCCAGCGATCCATGCGGTTTCCGGGTACAGCACCCATGGCTTGTAGGAGGCTGCCCAGAGCCTTGGCACGCTGTTGTTGTTGTTTCTGTTGTTCAGGTGTTTGAGTCGCCATCTGACTCGCAGCGGCAGCATAGTTGGGTGCGGCGGTGGCGGGGCCCGTGACTTGCGTCTTCTTCGAGCTTATCGGGATCCGGTCGCGGGGGGGCTGGACGCTGGTGGCGGATACCGGTGGTGGCGGTGCCGGCAGTGGGGACCCAGGGTCTCCGGTAGACATCTTGTCGGTGTATCACTTGTTAACTCGAGTATCGAAGGCTGCAGTAGGGCGATTGTGAAGTGAAGTGAAGTGAAGTGAAGTAGAGTCTCCCAAGTTTGCGGCCGGAGTCGACATCAGCTACCGGTTTGTTCGTTGCAAGCATTGTCGGCGCGATGGCGTAGTCGTGAGGGCGCGCGGGCGCCCACTCAGTGGTCGAGGGTTTGATCCGCCCGGAGCGCGATCTGTGAGGAATCCACTCTCCGCTCGGCTCAGGACTTAGGCGCGCGGAGCGAACCGGGCGCGGACTTAGGCGCGCGGAGTGAGCCGGGCGCCCCGGCCCAGGACTTAGGCGCGCGAAGCGAGCCTGGGCCATTGGCTCAGCCCCAGGCTCGCTGGCTGTGGACTTGGGGCGCGCGGGTCTCTTATTGTTAGCTTCCTATTCATCACTCTTGGCTATAACTACATCGCTGACGTAGTAGAGTTGATCGAATAGGTATGTTGAAATGCATTCATCACTCTTGGCTATAACTACATCACTGACGTAGTAGAGTTGATCGAATAGGTTATAAGCCCACGAGCTACCAGCCCCGCCGCTTGAGGCTTTTTCGCTCGAGCCCAGCCACTCGAGCCGCACACGTCCATCGCACCATCACATCATGGACAGCTCTCCCGCCTCGCCTTTGGCCCCCAGGGATCCCAGCTCCCCTGAATCTTCGATCGGCGAACAAATCGCCACTCTACAGGCCCAGCTTGCCGCTCTGCAGGCCTCGCAACCCGCCGCCGCCGCAGCCGCCGCACCCCCGGCCGTCACCGTCGTGCCGGGGAACGCCGCCACCGCATCCAAGGTCGTGTTTCCCAAGCACGCTCGTCTGGACGGCCCCAAGTCGTTCACCAACTGGTTGCGTCAACTCCGTCTTGCACTCCCGAACCAGGTTCGTGGTTACGTTCTCGACGGTGTCGTTCCCCCGACCTGGACCGCCGACCAGCTTGCCGCACGTGACGACGCCGCCCGGGAAATCATCGTTGGCTCTATCGACTCCGCCGACGTATCGGCCACCCTCGACGCCATCCCCAGCGACGACCTGTCGGCACCGCGCATCTTTGCCGCTCTCAAGGCTCGTTTTGCACCGGACGACGCTACACGCACTCTCGAGTTGTTCGCTCGCCTTTGGGACTTCAGGAAGATGCCTGCCTCCGTCGAGGCCTACGACACTTGGCTACGCGAGTACATGTCGATTGCTCAGGAAATACGCGACGCCAAAACATCGCTCAACGACGTGCTCGCCACCCACGTGCTCGCCATGGTCCCGTCTTGCCTCGACAGCTTCCGACTCACGTTCACGGACGAGCAGCGAAACCGACGCGACCTTCCCGAACTCACGACGCTTACGGACCGCATTCGCATCCAGCTTCGTTCGGCAGGACTCTCGACCTCGCATTCGGCCATGCTTGCCACCAGCTCCCCCTGCCCCGCCTGCCGCGCTCCCGGTCACCGCCTGCGCGACTGCACTTCACGTGCGAAGCACCCGCCCACCGGCCCCTGCCGCCGATGCCACAAGAAAGGTCACTGGGCACTCGACTGCAAGAACCGGGGTGAACAGGCACGTAGCAGCGACGACACCCAGGACGACACGTCTTCCTCCGCGGCCTCGCAACCGAACGTCGGCTATTTCGCCTCCTGCCTCTTCGCTCGTCGCCAACTCCCAACTGACGCCTTTGTAGTCGATTCGGGTGCCACGACACACATGGTCGCCGACCGATCTCTATTCACGACTTATCGTCAGACGGCACACACCAAGATCGGCGGCATCGCGGGCGGCATCACGGCTATCGGCATGGGGGACGTGGCATTCGTCGCCAAGACTGGACACCCGATCACGCTCCGTGGTGTTCTTCACACGCCTGGCCTACACGTCAACCTCCTCTCTGTCTCTCGCCTCTGCGACACCGACCGCGTTCGTCTCGCCTTCACCAGCGACGGCATCGACATCGCCAAGGACGGCCGGGCCATTGCTTGTGAAGAGTCCACTCTCAGCTCGACAGGGGCGCCTCGGTCGTTGCGCGCGCCTGCTAGCCTGGCCCCTGTGGTGGGGACTTAGGCGCGCGCGAGTGCCTCAGCGCGCCGGCGCCGGCGGTTTTCGGGCGCGCGCCGCTAGCCCGCCCTTGCAGTGGGGACTTAGCCGCGCGCGACTGCCTCAGCGCTCCAGCGATTTCGCCCGCGCCTGGGCATATCCCAGCGCGGGCCACCTTTCCATTTCTTAGCTTCCTTCTCATCACTTCTGTTCGACTCTCGACTTCTCCTGACAGTAGTGGTGATCATCTCATAGGTTATAAGCCCATCGAGCTACCGCTGGCATGGACACGTCGTCAACCCTCGCGACGAGCGCCACCCCGACAATTCCCGCCGAACAGCTTGCCGCACTTACATCGCTGCTGTCGGGACTCACCGCTGCCGCTTCCGGCACTACCGCACCCGCCACGACATCCGGCTCCAATCGCAATGCCTTCCCGAAGCATGCGCGGTTGGACGGGCCGAAGACGTTCGCGAACTGGACACGCCAGCTTCGCCTGTGCCTAGCGGACGACATCCGCTCCTACGTCCTCGACGGAATCACCCCCGACGATTGGACGCCTTCGCAACGCTCCGCCCGCGACGTCGTGGCACGCGAGATCCTTGCAAACTCAATCGACTCGGCCGAAGTCTCGGCAGTCCTCGACAAGATCCCTACGGCCGACCTCACAGCGCCCAAGATTTACTCGACGCTGAAATCGCGATACGCCCCTGATGACGCCACTCGCACGCTCGAGCTCTTCTCGCGACTCTGGGGCTTCCGACCCATGCCCGGAACGGTTGGCGAATTTGACAGTTGGATCATGGACTTCAAGTCGGTCGCGCAAGAGATCATCGATACGAAAACGACGATCAACGACGTCCTTGCCACACTCCTCCTCGCGATCGCCCACCCGTCACTCGAGAGCTTCAAGGCAACGTTCACCGACGAACAACGCACGCAACGAACTCTCCCTGACATCGATTCAGTGGCCGACCGTATGCGAGTTCAACTCCGGTCAACGAACCTCTCCAACGATCAATCGGCCCTCCTTGCCTCGTCGTCGCCACGTTCTACCCGTACCAAGTGCCTCGCCTGTCGCAGCCCTTCTCACCGCGTCGCACAATGCCCTACAAGGGCCCAGCATCCACCGCCAGGCCCGTGTCGCTCCTGCAAGAAGAAGGACCACTGGTCTTTCGACTGCAAAAAGGCTCTTGAGGACGGGAAAACGCCCGACACCTCTGATGCGCAACACCATGTCGGATGTCTCGCCACCGGTCTTCTCGCACATCGTCGTCAGCTTCGCAACAACTCCTTCGTCGTCGACTCGGGTGCCACTTCGTGTGAAGAGTCCACTCTCAGCTCGACAGGGGCGCCTCGGTCGTTGCGCGCACTTGCTAGCCCGCCCCCGGCGGTGGGGACTTAGACGCGCGCGACTGCCTCAGCGCGCCAGCGCCGGCGGATTCATGCGCGCGCCCGCTAGCCCGCCCCCTTGCGGTGGGGACTTAGGCGCGCCGGCGATTTCACCCGCGGCTGACTTAGGGATGTACATTGTGTTGAACTTCGCTCCATCTCACTTCTAGGACAATATGCGCTCACTGAAGTAGAGGTGCCTCGCCTTTTGGTGCAGTGGTATATTGTTCCTTCATAGGTTATGAGCCCAGAGCAACCAGCAGGTCATGAGTTCAATCCCCCCTGGGGTCAGGCAATTTTGCGCGCATACACTCAGCGTCCCGGCCCCCGCACTTGCCCAGCGGCGTGCCAAGCACCCTGGCGCATCGACAGTGCTCACAGTGCCCAAGCTGCACTTGCCCAAGCGACCTGATCAACATGCCCAGTTGCCTCACAAGCCGCACCCACTGCCACAAGCTCTTCAGCTTCGCGCACAGGGGGGTGTTGAACTTCGCTCCATCTCACTTCTAGGACAATATGCGCTCACTGAAGTAGAGGTGCCTCGCCTTTTGGTGCAGTGGTATATTGTTCCTTCATACATTGTCACGCGCCTGGGACTATCCCAGCGTGGCCCCCCCCCTTTCTGTTTCTTAGCTTCCTTCTCATCACTTCTGTTCGACTCTCAACCTCTCCTGACAGTAGTGGTGAACGTCTCATAGGTACGCTGAAATAGATCACTTCTGTTCGACTCTCAACCTCTCCTGACAGTAGTGGTGAACGTCTCATAGGTTATAAGCCCACGAGCCACCAGCTGGCATGACCACGACACCACCCCTCGCGACGGGTGCCAACCCTCCGATTCCCGCCGAACAGCTCGCCGCACTTACATCGCTGCTGTCGGGTCTCACCGCTGCCGCTTCCGGCACTGCCACACCCGCCACGACGTCCGGCACCACTCGCACTGCCTTTCCAAAGCACGCACGCTTGGATGGTGCGAAGACCTTCGCGAACTGGACACGCCAACTTCGCCTGTGCCTAGCGGACGACATCCGCTCGTACGTCCTCGACGGTATCGCACCCGACGACTGGACACCTTCGCAACGCTCCGCTCGCGACGCCGTCGCTCGTGAGGTCCTTGCGAATTCGATTGACTCGGCCGAAGTCTCGGCAGTCCTCGACAAAATCCCTACCGCCGACCTGACAGCGCCGACAATCTACTCGACGCTGAAATCGCGGTACGCCCCTGACGACGCCACCCGCACGCTCGAGCTCTTCTCACGACTCTGGGGTTTCCGTCCCATGCCCGGCACGGTTGCCGAATTCGACGGGTGGATCATGGACTTCAAAGCCGTTGCGCAAGAGATCATCGACACAAAGACAACTATCAATGATGTTCTCGCCACACTCCTCCTTGCAATCGCCCACCCGTCCCTCGAGAGCTTCAAGGCGTCGTTCACCGATGAACAGCGCACGCAACGAACTCTCCCCGACATTGATTCGCTTGCCGACCGTATGCGAGTCCAACTTCGGTCAACGAACATCCCCAGCACTCAATCGGCCCTTCTTGCCTCGTCGTCGTCACGTTCTACTCGTCTCAAGTGTCTCGCCTGTCGCAGCCCTTCGCACCGAGTCGCGGAGTGCCCTACGAGGGCGCAACACCCGCCGCCAGGACCCTGTCGCTCCTGCAAGAAGAAGGATCACTGGTCTCTCGACTGCAAGAAGGCGCTCGAGGACGGCAAAAAGCCCGACACCGCTGACTCGACCGTCGACTCGCAACACCATGTCGGATGTCTCGCCACCGGTCTTCTCGCTCGTCGTCGCCAGCTTCGCAACCACTCTTTTGTCGTCGACTCGGGCGCCACTTCGCACATGGTCTCGGACAAGTCGCTGTTCACGACCTATCGCCATATCGCTCCTACGAAGATTGGTGGTATTGCAGGGGGCATCAACGCCATCGGAACGGGAAACATCGCCTTCATTGCCGCCTCGGGTCATCCGATCACGCTTACCGGCGTGCTGCACACTCCGGGCCTGTTTGTCAATCTTCTCTCGGTCTCTCGACTTTGCGACACCGACGATGTCCGTGTCGCCTTCACAAAACACGGCATCCACATTGACAAGGACGGCAACGACATCGCTGAAGGCGCACGACTCGACGAAGGGCTCTACTTGCTGGACGCTGATCATTCCAAATGTCAGCACCTTGCTCTCCTTTCTCGCTCACAGTCGTCCGTGCCCCTGCTGACTCTCCATCGCTGCCTCGGCCATCTCGCACCGTCCTCCATACAGAAGATGGTTGCCGCTGGTTTGCTGGAGGGTCTCAGGGCCGGATATAGTGACGAAGAGGTAGAGAAGTTTGTCTGCAATGCTTGCCTCAGCGCAAAGGGCCATCGTCTTCCCTTTCCCGATTCGGATTCGCACTCCTCAGAGAGACTCGGCCTTGTACACAGCGATGTGCTTTCCTTCCCCGAGCGGTCCTTGACTGGCAAACGTTACCTGGTCACATTCCTTGACGATTACTCGCGCAAACTCTGGGCCTACGCAATCGGACACAAAAGCGAAGTCTTCGGCATATTCAAAACTTGGCTAGCCGAGGTTGAACTCGAGACGGGTGCGACGCTGAAGGTCCTCCGAACCGACAACGGTGGCGAATACTGTTCGAGAGCGTTCACAGAGTTCTGCAAGACACGAGGCACCCGTCGACAATACTCTATCCCACGCACGCCTCAACAGAACGGTCGTGCAGAGCGGGTCAATCGTTCCATTGTCGAAGGCGTCCTTGCCCTCCTTGTCGACGCCCACCTACCCAAGACATTCTGGGAGGAGGCTGCAGCTTATTTCGTTTACTGCAAGAACCTGTGTCAACACGCGGCCCTGGACAAGGCAACACCAAACTCCGTCTGGCAGGGTGACCACACCACTGCCTCGGCGCTTCACCCGTTCGGCTGTACAGCTTGGCTTACGGTCGCGCCCGAACTTCGCTCCAAACTCGACCCGAAGGCGGTTCGCGTTTTTTTCACCGGCTACGACCTGGCTTCAAAAGCCTTTCGCTTCTACGACACTACAACACAGAAGATTATACTTGGCAGAAATGCCACGTTCCTCGACACTGAATTCCCCGGATTACATGGCGACCCACTGAGCAAGACGGCGACACGCACTTCGCCAGCGCTCCCACCACCGAATCTCAAACCGTTGTCAAGACATGGACCCCACTAGTAAGGTCGGCGCACATGGACGTCTCATCCCCCCTTGATGATTCTGCCATGAGCGCCGTTGACGTGGCCCCAGGGTACACTGGCGGAACCTTACTTAACTTCACAGATGCCGAATCGTCCTCGTCACCGTCGCCTGCGTCGCCCTCATCACCGTCGTCTGCGCCATCGCCTGCACTTTCACCATCGTCGGCTGCGTCATCGTCACCCTCGGCCTTACCGACCGACTCTGAAGACTCCGCCGATCCCCTCGACCTCCTCGGCTCACAGCCCCAGGTTCGCCTCGATCTACAGGACGTGCACCACCCAGACTTCAGCACGTACCGCGAGCCCGCATCGGCTGAGGAGTCGCCCGACGAACTCGACCTCATTGGGCGCCACTCTCGCGACGAATCTCCGGACGAAATCGATTTCCTCACCCGACACCACCGCGCCTTCATC